TGTCTAACCAGACTTGCAAGGTAGAATTCAGATCATGATAGTGGGCGGAGGGAAGGAAGCATTTAGGAACTAGAGGAAAGTTGTATTTTTCATCGTTCCTACATCGCACCCTGACTGGCTCATCTCCCCACATGTGTTTATTGGCCAGGTTGGCACAATAAACTTTAATCATCTCACCTTGGTATCAGCTCCTCTTTTTACCCTGCCTCCCTCCGTCATGACCTCTTGATAAATTATAAATTGTTATTATTTTCATATCTTATACCCACTGCTGTCTCCCTTCCCCCATGGTTTCTGTTGTTTGTCCCCCTGGTAGGGGTGTGCGGTTATGTGACAATCATTGCAATTGGTTCCCCCTTCCTCACCTCCTCTTCCCACCTTCCCCCTACCCTCCTGGTATCACTACTCCCATTCCTGTTCTTGGATTCTGTGTGCTGTGATCACTTCTTTCTTATCTACCTGTGTGCATGCTCCGGTCTAGCCCACAGTGAAAGGCAGGACTGGGGTCATGATAGTGGGGGGTAAGGAAGCCTCAGGGAACCAGAGGAGTATTGTGTGTTTCATCGGTGCTATACTGCGCCCTGGTTGACTCACTGCTTTCTTGTGACCATTGTGTGAGGGGATGTCCATTGTCTACAGATGGGTTTTTGGTTTTTGCTCTGACCCCCCTTGTTCTCAATAATATGTTTTTTGCTTGTTTTGGGTCTTCTGATGCCTGGGACTGGACCCACTTTTTTACCGTGCTCCATTCCACTGACTTTCCTTGTCGATGGAAATGCATTCAACTTGTCTGTCTGCATCAGGTCACATTCACTCAACTACTCTTCGCCGTACCCTCTTCTAACCGTCTTACTCAACAGCTGATTAGCAGGCAGGCCAGTGAACCAAAAGGGTCTTGGAGCTTTGATTAGGGCGTCAGTGCGGAAGACCACATCGGCTTGAGCCAAGCAGTGGAGAAGGAAGTGGCCTGTCTGAAGGCCTAGAAAGATAACATGGGTGATTATTTTCCAAACACTGTCCAGGGACCGTAGCTACACACAGACAAGTAGAGAACATGAGCTAGCTTTTAGAACCAATATTCTCAGCTCTGTCTGTTTCTTTCAGTAGAGTCATTTGAACAGACCTCTGACAGGTTTTGCTTTGTTTTGGTTTTAAGAAAGAAAACGGAAGCCCCAATGATAGCCATCTTGTGACTGTGACCAATTGTATACTGAATAGGCCTTAATGTTCTGAGCCCGGGCAGGAAACCACTGAATCTATCACGTTCTGTCCATTCGAAATGAGTTGGATGGTGGACAGTCTGGCGAACAACCCAGGCTTCCTTCCCAGCCTGAGGGAGTTGGTTTTTTCTCACTATAAATACGTCCCCATCGGCAAATCCAAGTGCTCGGCATACGGCTGCACTGCCCGTTTCCGTGGTAGCAGGCCTGCGTCTGGAGGATGAAACGGCACCATCTTCCTCTTGGGGGGGTGTCCGCCCTTTGTGTTACAAGGAGGGCCCAAAGTGCTGTCAGCGACCCCTGACAGGATAGGCCTGGTGGGTTGGCTAGGGAAGCCCCGTCGCTCCTGGGGCTTGCATCCGTGGGTCAGCCAGGCGGCAGCGACAGAGGGAGAAAAAGATCAAAGCGACCCAGAACCCACAGGCCTGAATATCCACCCTGCCCCGCGTGGCTCGTGTTTCCCACACTTTTCAAATGTGAACTTTTGTCCTGAAGGTGGAGCTTTAGTACACAAGAAAATTAGAAAGGGACGGCGGCGGGCTTGTACAAAATGGGGTAGAAGCAGGCAAAGACGGTTTGTATGCTTGCTGGCTGCCTCTGGCTTGATTTTTTGGCCAAAAAGTAGGCATGGGTTCTAGCTGTTGGTGGTGGTGGCTTGATTTCTTTCCCTTTCCCATAGGAGTCTGCGCACAGTTAAAGGGAAGGGGCAGAGAGGAAGTCTGCTCTCAACCTTGGGGACTTACATTTCCAGCAGAGTCCCAAGGAACTGTAGTTGCCGAAGCCATTTCTGCTTCTTGCTGGCAGGATTTTTAAAGATGATGTTTCTCTTTTTCCAAACGAGGCGGCAATGAATTGAGTAGTGATCAAAATGCCGCACCATAGAGTATGTTTAATCCAAATAGCTCCCAAGATGGTCTGCCACTGATTGTACAAGTCGACGGGACTTAAAGAAATTACTTGGTTACCAGTGGAGTAAAACTATCTCTGAAATGGAATGAACTGTGGCTTTCTCCGCACGTAACAACACTGCCCCAGCGATGACAGCGAGGTTCCTGTGTTCTTCGATATTCACAGGGGAAATTGTTCAAAATGCCCATGCATAAATGCCCTACTATCCCATGAACGATCCTATGAGCTGTGCTAGATATTGTGTAGATCCTACCTTTCCATTTTCCAGCAGTGCAAACATTCTTTAAATATTCCAGACAGATGGGGACTGGGGGAGTGAGGCCTGATTAAATTGACGCAGACAAGCCATTGTATTTGCTTTTGCTGGAGCTCACCTGATGAGCCTTAACTCAGGACCTCAGACATTTGTTTCCCATCCACTACTACTCTCCCCACTTACAACCCAGCCACTGTCACCACCAGGGTAAGGGCCGCCTCACATGTGCTGAGGGCAGTATTTGCTACCTACTGGCAGGCAACAAGGTGCCCTCTGGCTTAGTGGGTTATATGTTGGGCTGCTAACCACAAGGCCAGCAGTTTGACTCCACCAGTTGCTTCTCTGCAGACAGAGGAAGTGATCTCTTCCCGTAAAGATGTATAGCCTTGGAAACCCTAGTGAGCAGTTGGACTCAGTCCTACAGGGTCGCTATGAGTTGGAAAGGACTCGATAGCTATTGGGCAGACCAAGGTCATATCCACTTTCACATGAGATTATGAGGGAACAGCTGACCCTGCTGAGTTCAGATATGAAGGCCACTCAGAACAATGCGATGCTCTAACTGCCCTGGGAGGGCGGGAACTGCCTAGCTCTCATCTCTCCCTTCTTCCCTTAAGCCAGCGTCCCTGCCTTTTTCTTCAGAGTTGGATAAGAATTTAAAGAACAGGACTTGCATCACTGTTGCAGAAGTTTGCAAACTGCAACAGTTGCTCCTTCTCAGGGACTTGGTACTTGGAGCAAGCCCACCCACCCCTCCCCCTCCTCAAAACATTCTAGCTGGGCTGGGGAACTAGAGGAAGAAAGGCTAGCAACCAATTGCTCCCCCACCCCCACCCCAAAGGTCTCCTGTCTGGCAGCAGCCTGGGAAGGGATGGAGATGACTTCCCAAGGATGCATGGGGGTCCTTCTGCCAAGCTTTGAGGGAGCTACCTGCTGCCCCAGGAACGGATTTTCTGGTGTGCAATAATTCGCTATGCTATGAAAATTCTTGGGGATCTGGGGGGCCACCAGGTTGATCTTTGCCTCCTGGGTGAAGGGGTGGTACCTCAGGGGTTGTAAAAGGAAAGGGGGCAGCAGGGGAACCTTCAGCCAAATAAAGCAATCTGGCTCTGGGGTTAGAAGCTTGGGCTGGGTCCTGTGGGGTCTCTTGGACCCTTTTTAAAATCCTGGCCGGGGATGACCCATGCACAAGGCTAGAGTGGCATGTGTAAACGGCCCTGGCGCCTCCAGAGAAGGATTCAAATTCATCTGTTGTTTGTTTACCAGCAATAAGATTCCAGCAAGTTCCATAACCTCTCCATGGTCATTTTCCACGACTACTAAATGGGCATGATAATAACAGTCACTAATTAATAGGATTGTTATGAGGATTAAATGAGGTTTAATCCGTGCCTTGAATTTAGAACAGCACCGGGCACCCAGCAAATGCTCACTAAATGTTAGCCATGACCATTCAGGCTAGATGGTGAGCAGAACTTTCTAAACGCTGGGTTGAGAGCCTGGGACTCCGTTGCCAAGGGAGATTAGAGAACCTTTGCAAATATGAAAGCTCCAGCCCCAGGGATTGGCCAGAACAAGAGTCTTGGCGCTTGCCTTTCTCCCACCTCACTCCTTCGGCCCAGGGAAACCCGCTCCCTGCCACCGGGGCTCCTGGGTCCCCGGAGGCTTGGGCTCGTCCACGTCCCGCGCGCGCTTTCCTCGGGCTTCCCTCCCCCGCCGCTCCAACACCTGTCCGCCGCCCTCGCCGCCTCCCAATGGCCTGAGCCCGGCCCTCCTCTCCAAGCCCTCAGTGTCCTGGGTGCCCGATCCCCGCGCCTCGGCGTCTCCCCGCCGCTCTAGTAAACAAAACCCGGGCGCTGGAGCTGCCCGGCGGGCAGATGATCTCGGGAGCCCGCTCGGAGCGCCGTTTGCGCGCCCCGGGAGCCCCGGGCGAGCCAAAGGGCGAGGGTGGCGGCCGCGGTGGCAGCGGCAGGCGGCTCAGCTTTGTTATGAATAGATGAAAGAGGCCACCTACACAGTCACCCAAATTACGAGACCTCCCTCCTCCCTATCTCACCGAATCAAGAGAGGAGGGGAGATGGGCGTGGAGGGAGGGCGGGCGGAGGGCGGAGGAGGAAGAGGATGAGGAAGGGGGCCAGTTGCGTCCCACTTTGACAATGGGAAAGTGAAACGCGCAAGGGCACCCAACCTCTCCAGCCCTCCCCGCCCGCCTCGCTCCTCTCCGCCCGTCCCCTCCCTTCCCCTCCGCGCCTCCCCGCGGGCGCAGCGCTGCACAGAGGAACTCTCGGCCGAGGAAGAAGCGGCGCCGCAGCGCGCAGGGCTTGCCACCGCCGCCGCACGAGCCG